GAACCACCTCGGTAGGTGGTTTATTTTTGCTGCGTGTTTTGGGCGGAAGGGCCGGATCGGGGACGGGTGCGCAACGCTTCCCAGATGTTGCGGTGGGATCGCGCCCATTTGCTGCGCCCCCAATCCGTCCCTCTCCCGGCCCAAAACCTCTCATGTGACCGGGGCCAGAGAACACTTCCCCCAAATTAACCCCATCTAGTCTTGCAGTTGCTGTTCCCCTGTCTGATCTAGTAACAGTCACCATCACCATGCCCTAAAGTTGCTAACTCCGGCTTTGGAAATTCCTGGAGATTTCAGGGTGGAACTTGTGGAGGGCAGAGTTTTGGGAGGGGAGGGAGCTCCATGGGGATTTGATACCATAGAGTTTACCCTCCAAAGCTGCCATTTTCTCCAGGGGAACTGTTCTCTGTAGCCTGGAGATCAAGGATTGTCTACTCTACCATAGCCTGAATCCTGTGAACCAGTTCAGGTTTTGGGTCAGCCTGGGTTTTGCTTTGTGCTGCTGCAGGCCAAGGTAGCTACACACAGGCCAGCATCACACTCTGAACTCAGCACAGCTTCTCTTTCAGCACCGCATCAGAACTAGCTTTTGGAGTGGTTATGTTTGGTTATTGTAATCTTATCTGCACTGAAAAAGGCAGAGGAAACTTTGCAAAAAGCTATTCTCCGTCGGTCCTTCTGGCCCTCACTGTTTCAGGTGAAGAAGGAAGTCTAACAAATCAGGCCATAGATTTGTGCACTCCAGGCTCCTGCAAAATGTTTTATTTGGGAGGTTTGCAGGACAATCAAGGAACACGCCGAGTCTGAGTGATGTTGCTATGCCTAAATGGCTTGCTGCACAGAGACAAATGCATACTATTTAAGCTGCCTCCAGAAGATGTTAAACCTCCTGAATACTTAAAATTAGAAAACCCCATCCCCTTCTTGCTTCCTGACTGATCATCCTCCTGTGATTTTTCCCCTCCAGCCAAGCCAACTTTTCACATTACTCAAGGCAGCTGTATTCCCCCCCCCCAGCATTCTATTTTCAGTAGTTTGAATGTTGGCGGACATTCCATGACATCCCAGAAGCTCAGAAGGGTGGGAGCTATATTCAAGCACAACCTCCTCACAATTCCACCCCCTTTTGCTAAGGGCCCCAGATTGGGCGCGCCCCCTTTTGGCATCAGACTGGGAAGGAAGGGGGTTCACGTGGGGCCCTTCTCCCCATTAGCTCCCCTCCTGCAAAACCTGCACAGTCAAAAGCATGCTCCTCCGTTACCTCCCAAGCCCATTTAAAGATGACATCGCAAGCTACACATGGCTCAGAATACCTGACTAGCACGATAGTGTAACTCTACGTGTTGTTTACATCTTGTAGGCTGCTGTAGAGTGTTATAGAGTTAACTCAAGGCCAAACTGTTTAGTAGTGATTTTGTTTCTTCCATTCCCTGTGCAGATAATGCCCTGTACAAGACTAAGCAACCTCCATCTTTAAAAGGACGTTCTTGTTCATCTGGCCCTTGTTCTTCCGTAGCTGTTTCCATCTATCAGGGGATGAGAATACGTAAAGACTGCATGGGACACACTTTTTGGTAACATCTCTTCCTTTGCGTTAGTCTGTGTGGTAGCATCTTTGATGATATATAAAAGAAATCCCATCTTCATCTTGCAACCTGAAGACAGGAGTGGAATCCCTCATCCAGCTTTTGGTCTAGCACTGTCCACTGAGACAATAGAATGTAGCTAAACTTTATTGATATAAGGATTGACAGCGTATGAGCTTCAGGTTGATCATGCAGTACTATGAAATCATCGGGCTGGATCCCATGGAAAAGAGGCCCACATGCAAAGTGGGAGGCAATTTGCCTTTGCTGGGGCAGCCCTTCAGCTCCTCCCTCGTGCTGCTCCTGGAGGACTCCTCTCCCCCAGGATCAGCATTTCGGGCTGGAGGAGGAGGTGGGGAAGTCATGCTTCCATGATGCACAAAATTTAGATGGGCTCTGACCCATCAACATCCTTGATATAGGAGTCAAACTTCCTCTTGAATGTTATGTGCCAACCTGCAAAGTACCTGTAGGTTTCTGTTTGCTTCGTTACCTACTATGCACTAACATTTTAGTGACCTTTAGCAGCAGAGTTCTGCAATTGCTGTCCAAGCCAAGTGATAGCTAAATCTTCATCTCCGTTATCGGCTTTGGCTTTGCGCAGGTCTCTGAAAGATTTAAGCAATCTGAGCAGTACTGCTCATCAGCAGCCCAAAGGAGGATCGCTGCTGCTTACCCCACTTTCACCTCTACTCGAAACAAATTTTGCAAGTGTTTGTGTTCTTTCCCTGCCTATTTGGCCGGAGGTGACAGGAGAAATGTACATACACCATTGGATGCGAAGCAGTTCTCAAACTACTTTTAGCTCCTCTTTTTAAAAAGTGATGTCAGTTTCCGTTCAAAGAGAGGTGCCAGGCCACAAAGAGTGCTTCCAACCTCACCATCTGCCATAGAAACACTGAATCCTAATTGTATGGCATCATATCATACTATGATATTTTTTAATAAAGGGAAGACATGCTCAGAGTCAGTTTCCTTTGTTAACTCTCATAAATTCCAGAACTCAGCTCTGGGTTGTTGTTTGTTTAAAAAAGATTCCTTGAAGAAAAGAATCTGTTATCCTAAGAAGTCAGCTTCTGTTTGGCCCCAGATGTATTGAGTTGGCTTTGACCAAAACACTAGCATGAATACTAGTGATCTAGCTACCCCATGGGGATATTGGGAAGATTACTGAGGGAAGGATTTGAAGTGACGGGGATCTGAAGCATAAAGCATAAGCATTGGTAAAGAGATGGGCAATGGGATATTTTCCACATGGTGCTGCCTGTGAGGCGAGGGAAGGAGAAAGGATGTTGGGACCTCAGAGAGGTGGAAGAGAGAGCAACAGAGGTTTGCACATTATGAGGAGCCTGTTTAGCAGGAAACACTATGCTCGCAAAGACCTATTAAAGCTCCGCTGACAAAGGAGGAAGTACAGAAAAGAAAACCCAAGACTCTGACATTTTCATGCTCAGTTTATGGCATCCTCTTCTCGGTACACTCTTTTACTTCCTTGGTTACATTTATCAGATGAAGCTGATGGCTGCTGTTGCTGGTTTGGTGGAGACCTTGTGGGCACAGAGCTGCTAAAGAAAACAAGTGTACAGCACAAACTTCCTTTGCGGCTTTGCTTTCCTTGCTCTCTTTCCTACGCTGCTCCCCTGTCATGTTTCATGATACTACAGGATGGGGCTGCTAACTTGTTGCCTGCGTTTTCTGCAAAAGCTTCAGCAATTTTGCTTTCAGCTGCTGCTTGCTACTGAGGTGATGCAACACACCTTACTTTTTTGTTATCACACAGCACTTCTAAAACACTAGATTTTGGCTGAGCAGATAGGTGAGCTAGAATTTTTAAAAAATCCTTATCTAAGCAGAATTAAACCCTCATTGACAGTCAGTGTCAAAAATACATAACCTGTCCATGTACATGCCTGCTCCCTCTGTTGTCTCCCCTGCCCCACTCTTTGGCTTTAAAAGATACCCTTTTGACAGTTGGCCAAAGACATTTCACAGAGGTCACTTAGACTATTTCCCCTGGTTTGGATACCTCTGGGAAGCAGGGCTTCCCCCCACTTCACAGCACTGTGGTGCTTTCCTGCACCTCCAGGGCTTTTCATGTCACTTCTGTAATCTTTCCCAAGCCTGCTTTGCTGTACTGCACTGGGGGGGGGGGGAGTCAAAGCAAAACCAGGTTGGCAACAGTGTGAATAGGTTAAGTGCAGATCTTCCTGGTTCTGGTTTCATCCACATAAGCCCCATTTTGCCTGCTCAGTCCCCAGGGAGTTCTTTTTTCAAAATAAAAATAAAAATCAGGAACTGATATTTCATTGTATCATATCATTTATCAGGTTCTCTGAACTCCCAAGATCTCTGTTTTTTAAAAAAAGATATAAGTCAAGGGCTGCCAGACCCCTCACCTCCATTTGGTAGGTCATCTTGGGGGAAATTGGGGTGGGGGAAAATCAGCACTTCAATACAGTATCATCACTTTCAGAACCTGGAAATGATGTCATCGCATCGAGGCAATGGTCCTAGGATTCTCTCCAACTCTAGTTTCAGTGAAAGCCTTCCAGATCCATATCAGAAGTAACATCATCCAGCTGGGCAGAGTGAAATTTAGTTCCAGGTAGACTATACTCAGCCCTGACCTGGGCAGCCAAGATCGCACCAGATCTAAGAAGCTAAGCAGGGTCAGACCTGGGCTAATATTTGGATGGGAGACCACCAAGATGTCCAGGGTCACGACATGAAGCCAGCAATGGCAAACCACCTCTGAATGTCTCTTGCCTTGAAAAACCTACGAGATCACCTTAAGCGATGACTTGACGGCACTTTCCACCACAAACGATGTTCAAGACCAGGTTACTATCCTAGGTACTTTCACTTGGGGGTAAATTCTACTGATTTCTGTAAGACTTCTGAGTAGGCTTAGACAGGATTATGTTGTAATCATAAAATCTGGCAAGGAGTTTAAAACCAGTGGGTGTCACTATGCCACAGATTTGGGATCCAGGAAAGAATCTTCCCCAAGTAAGAATGATTGGTAACCATGGAAGTCCCATGTTCTTTGCTTGATACATCCATATGGTTCTGAATGTGTAGAATTCCAAAGGCCGAGAACCAGGGCAGTGGATAAGAGAATACCTGACTAAGACCAAGGAGAACTGGGTTTAAATCTCTGGTCTGTATAGAAGCTCCAAGGGCAAGGGACCCATTGTTAACTTGCAGGGCTGTCATGAGAATTGGTTAGAATGGAGTTTAATGCTGCAGAATCCCACCAGATGTCCAACCTCCCATTCCTCATGGTCATTTGTCAATAAAATTATAGGAAAGCAAGAGAACTTGGAAGTACAAGGAAACATGAGTTTGGAAAGCATTTTCAAACTTTATTTACAACTGTCACAGTGACAAAAGTAGTTTGAAAAAAATGCTAGCTTTTTCCCTGAGGCTCAAAAAAGAATTACAGAAATATAGAATGTAATATACAACAGGAGAAGTTCAACAGGAGTGCTTTGTTCTTCAGACACATTCGAACAATGACATACAAGCAACAACAAAAAGAGGCAGAAAAGGATATGCAAATATATTTCAAGACAACAGCATTTCCACTCCTAAGCATAACAATTTCTGCTTTTCCAAGTGGATAATATTGGACAATTTCAAAACTTAAGAGACAAAATTCAAAAGCAACTAAAGTAACTGGAAAGAAGGGGGAATAATGAAAGATTTAGGCTGGTGTGCAGGCGTAAAAGCTCATTCTACTGAACAGCAAGACAAGAACAGGTGTCCAGGACACAAGACTGAAAAACATCTGGATCCACTGATTTCAAAGCAACCTTGGCTAGGTAATGATGCAAGACAGGTTTCAGTGAGGACAAAACCGTCCACCAAGACAGGTAGCACATATTTGTGACTGACAGGTTCTTGGCTGCCAAAAGAAAAACGAGAACACCAACTATATCCCCCACACGATATTAACAAAAAGGGAGGGGGCAGACAAACAACTTAGACAGGAATAATCTGCAACCTCACACCCACATGTAACAGTGACTCACAACTATTAAAAAGTTATTGCCATTATGTCAAAAACACAAGCAAGACAAGACTGAAAAATAATCCTGCTGATTTTTAAACAAGCAAACCCCCCTAACCCATTGCCAGCGTTTTTACTACTCATGAGGTATCAAATACAAAAATATACACAAAGGCCCAACAGATTTCTAAAAAACCCAAAAAAACCAAAGCCAATAAACCAGGAACATGGGAGACTAGGAATTATTTTGACTACCCTGTCAAGGCCATCAAAAATATGCATCACTGGTGGGGGTTTCTGGTTTAGCTCCTCCAGAATGGATGGAAATCCATGCCATTTCATTGCTCAGAACGGTCCTTTCCCTAGCCAATTCTGTGAGATCTGAGTCAGGACTTCTCCTCCAAGCAGAGTGATGCTTTCTCCTAGAAAGCTGCAAATTAGCTTACCCTGAAAATTTCTCTTCTTCTCCCAGGAAAAGTTAAACAGGACAGCGAAAGTGAGTTTATTATTGAGAATTTAGATCTTCAAGAAATTCCATAGATATGTTGAAAAAGCACTTTATTTTCTCCACAACACTGAGATCATAATACTATTTTATTGTTTCGGAAGAGAAGACCCGCTTTCCTCCAATGATCATGTTTTGTCATCCTGCTTTCACAGAAGCTCCAAAGCTGTTTCTGCGCCCTTATCAGATGGCCTGGTTGGCTCCCATAAAGTGAGTCCTTAAATCTAGCATTTCCACATAGTCAAAACAGACAGCCTCAATGCCATTGGAAAACCTGGTGTCCCTCTGCAACCAGATGTCTTATTGGCTTGGAGAACTGATAGCAGTTACAGTGGCAAAAATAAACCTATATTTTAAGTCTCCACTTTCCCCCCCCCCACATCCTTGCAACTTGCCTGTTACCTTGTGCCAGATAAACAAAGTTACTACAGAATGGCCAAGGGCCATTTTTAAAGCTGGCACTCGACCATCCAAAGCCACTCAGCACTATGGAGGTTAAATGTGTTCTTGAAGAACAAAAACTGGGATGACCGGGGTGGGGACAGCTTTTGTCTAACAGGCTGGCAAGCCAATGCCAAGCACCATAATTCCTACAGCAATTATGTGACTTTTGAGACAAGAGGTTATTCAACCACTGCTCCTCTATGCTGTTCAGCCAGGCACATCTGCCTGATGGTATAATATCACTGGAGCATTTAAGTGGCATGTTACCATGCTGCCTACCTCCCAACCCCCAAACACATACACGCACACACGCAAAACAGAAGCACTATTTGAAGGCAAGTTTTAGAGATGAATACTATTCTCATGGTTTTGTAGCCAGAGGCAATTCCTTTCAGAAATGCAGCTGCATTTTACACTTGGGCTTTCACTTCTTCTGCCTCACATATAACATGGTTTCCTGCCTAGCTAATCCTCCACTAAAGCACGCTGCTATTTCACTGCTGCACCCTTAATAACCTCAACAAAATTCAGCAGTGACTCTTAAGAAGAGCAGCCATTTCTTTCCCCTGCCCAACTTTCTTCCTTAGTTTCAGCTGGAGATTGTCACATCAAGCACTTCAGTTCTCAATAGAGAATATGAAAAAACAAAAACAAAAACTAAGATCTTGCAGGTGCAAAATTGAATGTCTTTTGCAGAAAAAGACTCTTCAGAACAGTTGTGGTTCTCCCCCTCCAGATGACACAGCATTTGAATTAGTACAGAAGACTCAGTGCCATTTATTGCTCCTTGCTCTCTTTCTTTGCTTCATCACAGTTTTCTTCTTCTTCTTCTTCTTCCTGGACCAGGAACTCCTCAGGCGGCCATCTTAGCTCCCCACTCTCCACATCTCCTTCTGTTGGCTCTACCACAATGGAAGGGAGGCGGTCTTTCAGCTTACAGTAGCGATCGAAGTCAGAAGGGTCAGGGAAAATCTGAAACAAGAAATTTACATGCCTGTCAATATTCTTTACTGTCAAGTATCATTGTACCTTTGTAACTGAGGAGACCAAGTTACCACCATTCACCAGGAGGATTTGGAACTTCATCCTACTCATCATGGCACCCTAAAAAGCCAAGGTGATTAGAGACAAGCACCTTTCCATGCAACAACTACAATTTGGAGATCTGGCTCTTAGCCAAAAAAAATAATAATAACCAGCTACTTTAAGGTCACTTCAGTCTCTCCCCCCCACCACCACCTGCAACCTGGTGATGAACCTGGTCTGCTGTACAAGGCTGCTGTAAATGGCTTACAACAAGATAATATGCATTAAACACTACATAAAGAATGTTATTCATAAATGTACACTTGTTTTCTCCATGTTTGATTCAATAGAGGCTGAATGTATAAGCCAAAACCACGAAAAGCACTGAGACCAAGGTGATGTGGCAACTTGGCAGTTCTACCTATGATGGCTCATTTGCTCAAGCAAAGGAATTGTGGCCACTGCAGTGATGAATATCCATGTGTGAGATCCAGCCTTCAGTTATGTGTTAGCACTTTCCAACAAGATATTTTCAGGTTGAAAAGACAGGTAAGGCATTCTATTAAAATGTTCATTTTTAGAAGAACTCCAAAACTTCTACTGGAACTCAGAAGTTCCAGAAGAACCTTGTGGACTGACCAAGTAACAGCTAACCATGCAGTCTAAAAGTTCAAACTTTGGCATGTGCCACGAGCTCTTGAAATGAGCAAGCTGAGCCACAGAGCTTTAGTCACTTCCCATCAAGCCAACAACACCGCAGAACTACCCTAAATACTCTGAAAAACTTGGTCTGCTAGCCTAGTAACATTGAGTTGAGGCACCCATTTCTGGACACACATTTGTAAACATCTCTGTACACAACTGTAGACACACACACATGGATATAGTGGCCCAATTGGATTTCCTCAAATATGTGAACACGGGTTTTAAGAACACAACGTACACAACCAGTGCCATCCACATATTACACCTTTGCTGCAGAAAGACACTACTGGTCTATACACCCTGTGGTCATGTAAAAGCGTGCAGCTGCTCATGTTCTTAGCTGAAAGGCACTGATCTCTCCTGAAGAGACATACTTTGCTGTGAACTCGGATAAGGACTTATTTAAAACATTTCTATGCAGCCTCTCCACCCAGTTCAGGGTCCCCAGGGCAGCAAACAATGAAACACTGAAGTGTTTGAAACATTTAAAATTTATTTATTTAATTAATTAATTTATTTATTTATTTTATTTTTACCCCGCCCTCCACGCTCGCGGGCTCAGGGCGGCTTACAATATGAGGTGCAATGCAGCACCATAGTACACAATATGGCACTTAGTGCAATAAAAACACGATAAAACATTTTAAAACAATTCAAAATAACTTAAAATACAGATAAGTACACAAAATATTTAAAACAGAATAGATCAACACTGCCAGTTCTTAGCTAACCTACTACGTACTCTTTTTGAATTCTGTTCCAGGGTTGTTATGTTTTACCACATGTACCGAGAAAGTATGCTACTCGTGATCCTCCTGACAAGTGTGATTGCCATTCTGTCTAAAAAGGACATGTATTTGCAGCCTTGTATCAAACATATTGGAATAGCTGTTATGTGATACCATGCTTCCAGTACGCACGGTTGTTGGGCTCCTAGGACACGTGACCATAACAACATAAGGAGGCTACTCTGCTGCTGCTATTGAGCACCTTTCTGCAGTGACTATCAGAAACGCACCCACGTGCAGCACTGCCGCAAGAACTGTTTCTCTCTGCACTGCTAGAATTGGCAATTAGCACAGAAGCAAACTACTTGTTGCACAGGTTGGTACAGACCTCAATTTAGCATGATCAGGATACCATTTAAACAAGTCTGGAACCTGTGAAGGTGCAATAAAGAACACATTTATACCTATGTGTAGAAAACCTTTCCCTCAGCTAAGCAAAGCAAAACATGAACCCATATACCTGAGACTTTTTAAAAAACCAAAGGTCACAATTTCATTTTAGAAATCAAGCAGTTCCCAGTCCTGCTATGAACACTGGAACACAAAGGACCATTGCCCATGGGGTGGCCTCTCAAGTTTCAAAGAGTTTCCACTATTATGCTATGTGATTCATCTGTCCTAATTGCATGGGAGTTGGAGAAGCAGGGCAGATGGAGGGCTGGTTGGAGTGTCAAGTTACAGTGGAGAAGACTCAGGTTCAAATCTCTATTCAGCCACAAAACTCACTGGGTGACCTTCAGCCACTCTCTCTCTCTCTCTCTCTGATCTACCTCACAGGGCTTGCTGTGAGGGTCAACCAGAGGAAGGGGGAAATGACATATATTGTCTTAATGATCCTGGAGCAAGGGCAGAATAAAATGGATAAACAAATGGAAAAAGCAGTCTCATTAGACAACAGCTCCTTCCCTTCTACTAAAGGGACAGTTTCCTGAGGGACAGTCTAATAATGGATCCTTCCTTAACACAAACAGCAAGGGACAAACAAGAACATGAAGCTACCTTAAACAAAGTCAGACCACTGCTCTGTCTAGACCTGGATAGGCTTCTCTGGCTAGCGGTTTCCCTTCAGGGTCTGTCACATCACCTACTACCTGGCCCTTTTAGCTGGAGATGCTGGGGAATGAACCGGGGACCACTGAGCCATAGTTCCTCCCCCAAAGCCTGTGGCAGCTCTGCAACTTTGCCTACAGGGACTGCTTTGGGAGAGAAGCTTCAGCAGACTCAAGAAGCAGATCCAACCTGCTTTCCATATGAGCAGGGTAAACTGTAGCTTGGCTATTAGCCCACCCAATGAACAGGTCATTATAGCTCTACCCACACAGTGGCCTGGGTGCTGCCACCTTTTTGTTGCTTCTCAGATTATTAAGCAGATGAGGAAGAGAACACACTGGGGCTCTCTGTCCCCGGATGGTATAAATGACTAGCTTTCTTCTGTTAGAGCCATCACATGACAAATTTCCAAAGAGATACCACACAGTCAGTGGTTTTGTGGATCCACCCCAACTGTGGGGTGGAAAAACTCTCTAGAACACTGGCTAAAGGGTTAAATTATACATGGGAATCTGCTCAGGATTTTCTGCAGGTTAACGTGACTTTTTTAAAAAAAGATACCATAGCAGCTAACCTGGGGAGAAGAGTGGAAATCATGTCAGGGCTAGGGCACAGGGGTTGCAACTCTTTCCCAGTTTAATTGATATCTAAGTTTTTCCCAGTGAGGCAAACAGCCCATGGAGGATTATTTTAAATCAGTACAGCAGGAAAATTCCAACCCCCCTCCTCAACACTGCTTTTGCATTTTAAATAGTCACAGATCTCCTTTTTCACATGTTACTTTGATCTCCAGGTCATCCAGCTAGGCTTGCAAGGTCCTAATTCCTTCTCCCCACCCCCAACCCTTCCAAAGACATTAACTACCAACCTCAGCCACATGTGCTCTCACTGCCAGAACACTTCAGAATTGCCTTTGCTGAACAGTTGAGCCTTCTGAGTGGCTAAGCAAGGCCTGCCCTTATACATAACATGTACAAAGAACTAAGTTGAACTTTCAGTTATTACTAAACTTAGAAAATCCAGAAATGTTGACATTTTGTTATTTAAAGAACATCAATGAGAGGGGAAAAGCTGATTTACAGTATGTCTTATAAGTGTGTGATGCCACAGCAGAGATCAGCAAGCACAGAAAATACCAGATCAGTGCTCTTTCAGTGTTGCTTTTGGTACATTAGGTCAAACAAGAATAGCTGTTTTGAAAATAAACTGGCAGTTTTCTCTTGCCCCTTCTTTAAACTTGTTAGTGATGTCTTTAAATAAATATCCTCCAAATATGTTGCTTGGATTTTCAGGGTTTTTTTTTTTTAAATAGACTGAACGATCTTATTGAACAGCTGCAATAGAGGAGGTCAAGATTTTTCCACTAAGTCATGCTTTTTTTTTCAAATCAAGGCAGCAGAAAATGAGATGTTGCAACTGCACTCAAGGACTGGGGATGGCCCAATGGAAAATAAATGAAGTCACATTTCCCAGCACATGACAGACAGGGAAACGAGACAAGGCTGACTTTGGGAACAAAGGAACAAGCACATTTCTGCATAACAAAATGTATATCCCTGGAGCAGATGCAGGAGACAGGCTTCATGCTGATTGCTCTTCATGCAGAAGTAGCATCCTATCTTTTGGGGACTGTTCACATATGTAGCTATCTCACAATGCAACCTTTTAAGGATATCGGCAGATCAGATCAAGCAGTAAAACACAAGGTGAAATAAAACTAAAAATGCAAACTTCCTTCAAGCAATCAGGATTCTTCAACCCTGACCAAGTCAGTAAATACTAGCCTGGCAGGAGATTCCTTGCCATTCTATAAGACAAAATAATGTGCTTACATCCTTTGGTATGCCAAAGGTGAGGAATCTCGTGTGTCCTGGATTGAATTTTTAAAAATCACACTATTTACTCTTGAGCAGAACCCTGAAATTAAAAACCTGTACCCAAAGTGATTTCAGGTTTACACAGATTCTTTACATACAAATGCCACAGTTGGTATGCAAGTGCTTATTTAGAAGAGAGACTGTATTAATATTTACAGGACCAAATTAATTAGGAATATGATCCACCAGCATCTTTCAGCCCAAGGCAGTTCCTCTGATGTCCACTTTCCACACTGGCCCCATTCAACAAAACTGCTACCAGTTGAAGTTTAGAAGTTTGTCCCCTTATTGCAACTGTAGCCTGTTGCTGGGTTGACTAGGGCCCTCTATACTGAAGGAAAAGGAAGCAATAGGGATTAGGGAATGAAGAAAGAAAGCTGGAGGAGGAAGTAGAGCAGGAGCTATAACAGGGCCAGAAAAACAAAATCTGATGTTAAGAATCCTGCCTTGTGTTGTCTTCTTGCCTGCATTAAACTACAAAATGTGGTTTTGTTATGCGGCACCGGTAGTTTTATAGTGGCTTAAT